CAAGCATGATCGAAGGAAATCATAGATGAATGCAAATAAAAATCAAATTTTATCAATCAAGTTGAGGAGAGTAAAAAAATAATAGATGAAAGACACATCCGTGATCAAAGGAGATAGAGGGATGTACACCTTTATTTGTTTCCATATTTTACATTTATGATGGTTACATAAACATTTGTTTGTCTTTGTTTTAATCAAGACATTGTAAAAACAATGTTTCTGCTAATAGAAAAACATTATTTACATTGAGGTTGACAATTCTTAAAAAACTCCTATAGTTGATATGAAAGCGATGCAAAATTATCAAATATAATTTTAATGGTTAATTACTTTTTATCCTATGTAGTTTCGGCTCGAAACATCTTATCTACTTGATGTTTAAAATTATATACATTATTCCCTTATAATTATATATTAAAGTAAAGTAATTGACGATGTTAATAGAATTAAAAAATTATCATAATACTCACGTTTTAAAATCAAACTTTTCATATGATTTATTCTTGATCATAAAACTAATGAAACGTGACAACAAACTAATACATTTCAATCAAATATTCATGTTTTTGTGTTAAGATATTAGGTAGGTGATGCCCACTAAACACTACAAGCTAGAAAACATGTATACATCATCATCATCATATCAATCTGATTGAACAAACCCTCATTTTGTGTTTAATTTCTCAGATAAGCAAAAGACTTGGTGGTTTCTAGTCATTGGAGTCATGTTTAAAATAATGTGTCCCCTTCGAATTGAAATGACCCTTCACATTTGAAGTAACTTCTTATAGATTCTCTGCATGTGATTCAACATGAAATCTTAAAAAATTAAAAACAATTTCTGTAAAAGTAAATTTGATTACCTTTTTTTTTTTGGTGTTTGTGTGTGTGCCTTTTATTACTTTGTATTACTACTCATGATTAAGTTGGAGTAAAAAACCAGCAAAAAAAGATTGAGTTGGAGTAAAAGAGCAAACCAAAGTAATAAAATGACAAAAGCCAGGACACAAAAAAAAGGGTTAATTACAATATGTCCCTTTTAACTATGTCCTTTGTTGCAATTAGCTCTATGTGGTTTCAAAGAGGCTGAATACCTGAAAGAACCATTACACTATCCGTCTTACACATTATTTCTCATATTTTTTTCTTGTGATACCAATTTTGTCCCTAAAAAATAAGGAAATAAAAAAGTTAATACTAAAAAATAAGAAAACATTCGCCTTCACCTATTCATAGAGAATAGAGAGTTTCTATTGGAAGGGAAAAGGGAATGAGAGTTACCCATTCGATGTAAGGGAGGATGAAATGGTGTAAGGGTAAAAAGGAAAGTATGGATATTTGATACAGAGGAAAAATAGGTGTGTGGTTAATTAATTTTTTTTAATAAAGTAGGGATCACATGAATTTGACATGTCTAACTTTTCTCAATTTTTATTGTTTAAAAATAACTATTGGAGTTAATTATAAAATATTCAAACTTAAAAGGGGTTATAGTTGAAATTAAAACCTGAAAGAGTGACTTGCAAACTACGCAAAATTGAAAAGAGTATTTTGTAGTTAACTCAAAAAAAAAAAAAGATAATTAGAAACCATTGCCAAATAGGCAATAGCACTATAATTTTTTTTGGATTCCTTTGACTAACTCAAATTTTTTTTTTTGTTTTTGATAACCGTTGAAATGTTTGGCTTGTCCTCGACGAGTAAAGGCAATCTCCTGATACATGAACCTAATTCAATTTCTTGCATACCCTACCCATCTAACTAGGTTGCTGTCTGTTCTGTAAAACATGTGATAAACTAATGATTAGTATCTTCATAGTCTTAAAGGGACCCTACCCTGTATCATTAGCAACCCTGTTTAAAAACCATAACTTTTATAATGGTGGGCTCATTGGGCATTAAAGTAAGTGCCCAAAAGGTTCTTGATAAGCTTGGGATAACAGAAGGTGTTCCACTTAAGGATGTCAAATTGCCAACCCCATATACTTATATTCGATTTGAATTTTTTCTTAATTTTTTTTAATAATAATATATTTATCAAAAACTTAAGTATCAAGAGGAACTTGCTATATAAGTGGGTCCCAATTGATATAGGATAGTGATCTATCAGTGCAGAAAATTAGGAAGAAATGTATTAGCAGGATTTGAATCTATTAGTATATACCAAACTTTTGTCCATGTGAAAGATATGAAATGGCCAATAGTGGATTCTTCTCTCTCTCTCTCTCTCTCCACTCTCATATTCCAAACCTTTTATATTCCACTTAGTGGGGTGATTTGTCAATAATTAGGCATTTTGTCACTTATTAACTAGAAAAAGATTTAATGACCCAAATTAAAAAAAAAAAAAAACACTAGAAAAAGAGATTTATTGTAATTCATTCAACTCAATATCAAAGTAAACCGCAAATAAACCTTAGATAAATCTCCACTATATTTGCTAGTGCGACACCACCAAACAATACACATTCCTCCAAAAAAGAAATTTATTATTTCAACACGTCATACACATCAAATAAATTAATGCTCGTGAGAGTCAAACTCAAAATCTATATCTAAAACCCAAATTCTTGATCTCAAAAAAGTCATATTTAATGCATAAGACTCGCCTGTAATCAGAGGTGGCAGTCTTAACTTATTACCCATTAATCGATCTAACTCGTTCATAAATAAATGGTTTGGGTACCTATATAAATTATTATGAGTTTTAAATGAGTCGGGTAATATGATTCATTTTAATTAAACAGATTAACATGAATTACAAGTGGGTACCCATTGAGTTAAGTATTTATCCTTTTATTAAATAACACAAGTAATAAAATTAAATAAATATACTAATATACCAAAAATTACACACATATACACTAACATATCAAAACATACATACACTAGCACACAAAAAACACACACACTAATATACCACTCATGACCCACGAGTCAACCCAGGACCCACAAGTCAACCCACAACTCACAAGTTGACCCGTTACCCACGACCCATGGGTCGACCCAAGACCCCCATGACCACATACAAACCCATAGCCCACAATCGACCTGTCCCATTATGTGCTTATTTTTTTTAATTAAATGTGTTATAATTTTTGTATTAGTATATGTTTGTGTATTTTTTATGTATTAGTGTGTATATTTTTAATGTATTAATTTGTGTGTATTTTGGTGTATTAGTGTGTGTGTATATATATTTTGGTGTACTACTAATGTGTGTGTGTGTGTGTGTGTTTTGATATACTAATGTTTTTATTAAAAATTTTAATTATTTTATGAGTTAATCAGTTATAAACTCAACTCATTATAATTTATTTACTGTATGAGTGAAAAATAAATTGAATTTTTTTTTAACTCAATTCATAAACAATTCAGCCAATCCATTTGTCACCTGTACCTATAACAGAATTTGAGAGAGGTAAGTAATAAACAATTTTACTTTATTCTAAAGCGATTGTTTCTCGAATTTACACTCAGGATGTACATGGGTCGACCAGATGAACACTTTTCATTGCTAGAGATCCGACCTCTACTCGAATTCAAATTTTTTTTACATGATTGTGTCCTCCTTGGTCATCATTAAATCATTTATGCATCACTAAGTTGGGTACTTGTCTGGACGTGGGTCCCCTCTCCTCCCTCTTTGCAATTATGCATTTGATGATGTGAGATGCCAACTACTAAAAATTTGTAAAGTTTGTGGTATATACATACATTGTAGCTGAAAGGGGCATCTCTGGCCACATTGAGCTTTGTCAGTACTGTAACATATGATCAACGACAAGCATTGTTTAATGCATTTGTCTGCAGATTTTTCACACAACTTGGAGAGGTCCCAATCCCTTTTATTTAAACTACCGAACGGTTGTTCTTCCACACCTACGAAAATTGAATGGGGCTAAACCTATTCTTTAGTGTTTAGGGTTGTGGATCCCTATAGATAGTTGTGTAGTATTAAGGGACAATACTTCCTGACGAATATGTAGAGTGACCTATTTGCATATTTATTTTTTATAAAAAAAAAGAAATGTTTTAAAAGTGTTGTAATGCGGTGATGCTTTCGTTAATTTTCATTTCTCATTCCGTCAACGTCAATCATTTAAATTTTAGCAAAACAAGTAACGAAAATTAATAAAAAGGCTTAGAGTATTACTATACATGATTAGAATATTTAATGAGGACACATGACAAAAGTGAGAAAAGAAAATATGACAAAAATAGAATATATCTGACCGAGCTATAACGAGTTTTTTTTTTTTTTTTTNACAAACAAAATGCAGCTGTCTCCATTATTATATCAAAAACTGTTCAAAGAAACCCACCCAAATTCCAATCTTTCCCATTCACTTTTCTTCACAAATTCACTTTCTACCCCTAGATATATCTTTGACAGATAGAGCAGTTAATATCTTGTTCATTTCAAAATTCATTCGATTGATATTCAATTTATTTGTGATTTTGTATAGTCGAGCTTGTTTTTATTTGATTCGTGTCGTGTATAAGTTATGTTTAATCAAATAAAAATATGTACACGACTTATTTGAGTGACTTATTATTTGGGTAAGTCATGTATACAATCCTAAGTTACACAGTACAAAAATGGGGGTGAGAGCGAGAGTACAAAAACAGAAAATTTCAAAAAAATTTCAGAGCATGAGTTTTTTGAGAACGGCTTTGTTGTGTTTGGGTCGGTTACAATTAAAAATTTGCGTTTGAGTTAAATTTTAAGTTCATGAATTTAGATGTTGAATTTGCAAATTAAGTAAAATGAGAGGGGGAAGTTATGCCGGATTCACTCTTAATTTGAGAATTTGAGCTCGGAGTGCTAAAACCTAGGGGTTGGGGGACGAATTATGTGACTAAGTTACAATCCACCCACATTTAAAAATTGAACGGGTTTTTGCAGATATTTTTATCGAACTAGTCAACTTGTTGATTACCCGAACACGACACCGTTAAAATTGCTACCTAAAATTTCACTAATTTCATGTTACTAGCTCTACTCACGAGTCAAATAGGAAGCGTCGGCAGCTTGGAATTTTCTATACAATCTTTTTGAGACAGAAAGTGAGTGATGAGTGCGTAGGATAAGCAGAAAGTGGTGTGTTTGGGTGTCACTCATGGGGAAAAATTACTTCTTCTGAGGGGCTCTCGGCTACAAAACTGCGCCAAGTTTTGAAATTTTGGCGGTGCATTTTAGCGAAGGGAAGAGAAAGGTGAAGCAGGTGGCGGAGGGGATGAAGATTGGTTATTGCTTAGTGGTGGTGGTGTTGTTCATGGTCCCTCTGTGCTATGCCACCAGATTGAGTGGCGTCTCTTCCCAGAAGCTTGAGGTTAAGAAGCAATTGAACCGTTTAAACAAGCCTTTCCTCAAGTCCATCAAGGTCTCCCCATACACCCTTTTCCTCTCTCTCTTTCTCTCTATCTACCTATCTAGTGAATTGTGTACATGTATTGACCAATTGTTTTTTCATGGTTGTCAAAAACAGAGCCCAGATGGGGATACAATTGACTGTGTACATATCTCCCACCAGCCAGCTTTTGATCACCCTTCCCTCAAAAACCATACAGTTCAGGTCTCTCTCTCTCTCTCTCTCTCCCATGCATTTGTACATACAGTTTGGATTCTGAAGATGGGTGTTTTTTGTTTGTTGTAGATGAGGCCAAATTATCATCCAGAAGGGCTGCTTGATGATAACAAAGTGTCCAATTCAAAATCCCAAAATGATGGGTCAAAACCAATTGCTCAGTTATGGAACTTGAATGGAAGGTGCCCAGAAGGAACCATTCCTATCAGAAGAACAAAGAGAGAGGATATCCTCAGAGCAAGCTCTGTCGAGAGTTTTGGAAAGAAGAAGAATTCTAGTGTCCCTAAACCAAAGTCTGCTGGACCTGACTTCATCAGTCAATATGGCCATCAGGTACACCCACAGCCTATAGATACATATGCTCCCTATGACTCATGGTTCAAAATATCTGATATAGATACGATTCGACCTAGAATGAAACCTTTCGTTCCGACACGTTTCGTGTAAATAACGAGCCAGAACCGTTGACACTCATATAAAACTCAGCCAAGTCCTTTGAGCCATCTTCATCACATCTTAATTGTAGCATATTTCACATCGACGTGACTGATACGTCTACCCTCTCAATACGTCATACAACGTCCTTGAACCATGACATCACAACAACACATGAAAAGAAAACTTTTTTTTTTTTTTTAGCTTTCTTGCTTTATGTTGGTCTCTTTTCTTTCTTAATGATTTATTTTTTTCTGGGGTTTTGTTCTGGAGTTTTTTAGCATGCAATAGCTTATGTTGAAGGAGATAATTACTATGGAGCAAAGGCAACCATTAATGTATGGACTCCCAGAGTACAGCAACCCAATGAATTCAGCTTGTCTCAGCTATGGATCTTGGGAGGCTCTTTTGCTTATGACCTCAACAGTATTGAAGCTGGCTGGCAGGCAGTTATCTTTTCACTCACAATCCTCCTAATTCATATATGTGTGTGTGTGTGTGAGTGCGTGAGTGTACCAATTTTTTTGTTCTGATTTTAAATTGGTTTTCCATCTACTGGGAGAAAACAGGTAAGCCCAGACTTGTATGGAGACGACAACGCTAGACTTTTTACCTATTGGACAGTAAGTCACCATATACCCATCCTTTTTAAGTTCCTTTTTTGCTCGGGAAAGACTACGGTATCGAATTTGATATTGTAGCAAAAGTTAAGATTGCAAAAAAGCTTGTTACAACTCAAATGAAATCACTTTACAACTCAAAAAGGTCATCAATCGAGGTCAAATTATGACTTCAAATCGATTTGAAACAACCAGTAACCTCGTCCAATTAAGTCAGAATTTCATCCAAATAAAGTGTAATTTTATACCAAACCTTATTTACGATTTCCATGCTGTTGATACTGTTATCACATAGTGTCTAAAAGTGCCTGAAATTTTTGGCTGAAATGACAGAGTGATGCTTATCAAGCCACGGGTTGCTACAACTTGCTGTGCTCAGGCTTTGTTCAAATCAATAATGAAATAGCTCTGGGGGCCAGCATCTTCCCTGTTTCTGGATATCGTCAATCCCAATATGATATCAGCATACTTGTCTGGAAGGTATATAAGATTAGCTGTACACATTGGACTCACCTACTACTTCATTTCATTAAGGTTTTCAATATATATATATACAAAATAATGATGATAGTACAAGACCCAGAAGTCAAACCCATTGCAATTAGCTTTATCCCCTTAAGGGTTGTGTTTTTCACATTACCCACTTAACTACTTGAATTGATTTTCATCACCCGCAAAATCAATTGACTGCCATGTTCATACACTCTGTAAAATAAATAGAATACATATTTCTAATGTCTACAGTTAGGAAGTATGAAATCAATAATAAGTACAATATGAAGTACATGATCGTTGTTAGGGGTAGTGTGAAACTAACAACCATAGTTAGAGGCGTATTCCAAAAAACATGGTAGTTGGTTGTTGACAGATGACGACGATTGACAAGAGATATAGTTGAGGGAGTTAAAATATAATTGACCCTTTGATTTAATAGATTAAAAGAGATGCAGAGAATCTATGACATTTGTCCATGTTGTATGCTTTTCTTTCTTTTCTTTTTCTGGGTCCTTATGTTTCTATCCTATCATTTTAACCCATCAATTTGAATTTTTATATTTGGTTGTCTTTTGGTAGGACCCAACAGAGGGTAACTGGTGGATGCAGTTTGGGAATGACTATGTTTTGGGTTATTGGCCAGCATTTTTGTTCTCAAACTTAGTAGACAGTGCTTCAATGATTGAATGGGGAGGAGAGGTGGTGAACTCAGAGTCTGAAGGGCAACACACCACCACCCAAATGGGCAGTGGCCATTTTCCTGAAGAAGGGTTTGGGAAGTCCAGTTATTTCAGGAATATTCAGATAGTAGATGGGTCCAACAACTTGAGGGCTCCCAAGGACATTGCCACTTTTACTGAGGAATCAAATTGCTATGATGTTCAGGTTGGAAAGAATGGTGGTTGGGGTAACTACTTTTACTATGGTGGACCAGGTAGGAACTCTAATTGTCCATGACCAAATTCATAAGATTTCCACAATCACAATACATATGTGTTTGTGTGTGTGTGTGTGTG